GTCAGGAGACGGCATCGCCGACGGGATCGAGGGGCACCGGCGAAGAATCGGTGGCTGTGGAGATGGACGTCGATGCGGACGACGACCGGGGTATGTCGGGGGCAAACGGCGGGGCCGACACCGCCGCGGGTGACGACGTTCTGCGTGCCAAGGATGAGGCAATCGCGGTGGGTTGGTTTTTTCGTCTGTCTGTCGTCATTTTGGGATTGGTGGCGGTGGTCGTAGGTGCGGTGTTGTCTATTCTGTGGGTTGTTTGGTTGGTTGCCTGTTGTCGTACCATTTGTTGCTGGTGGCGGTGATCGCAGCGTGTGTTGCCAGGGTGATCTCTCTGTTGTCTGTTGTGTCCGTACGTGTGGGGGCGCCATGTCCCCATGGCCTACGACGCGCGGCGCCGTGCCAGGAACAGCACCCATGCAACAAGAACCAGAACACCCACAACTGCTGCAGACACCAAACAAACAAACAACCAAGCGTTTCGTTCGGACGTGATGAAAATATCAGGCCATCGAGCAGCAGCTGGCGGCCTTGAAGATGGCCAAGAGCGGCGCCTCCACCGGCGGCAGCGGCAGCAGCAGCGGCCTCGCGCGTCCGTCGTCCCATGCGGTGAGTGTGGACGAAGAGGGAGCGTTACATGAGTGGGTCTAGGCGAATCGTCGGCGAGTGAGCGAGGTCCCATGCCCGTCTCTTGGTGCCGCGCTTGTTTTGTTGGCTGGTGTGTGTTCGCGTGTTAAATGGCGTTTCTGAAGATGGTCAGCTTTTGCTGCGGACCGAAAATAAGTGGCTTTTTTGCTTGCGAGGAAAGCAGAGGTAAAAAATGGAGGTAATGATGCGGACAGCAGGGGGAAGAGAGACCACGTTGAGGTCGAGAGAGACCGCCGGTTCGAGCGAGCGGCTTGTTTTCGAGATGAACACGTTTGGTCGCCGCGCTCGTTCGCCGTGTTATCTGTCGGATTTGCTCCATTTTATCTGTTGGAACATCGGAACCATTTTCTTTATTGTTCGAGTTGAAACCCTGACTGCTGCTTGGCCCGAACCGCGATGTATCGCACAACTACCACGTAGGATTCGAACGTCTTGTGCTCGCCGTTTCGCGTTCGTCCTCTATTTTGTATCGTTGTCCCTGGCTCGATTGTGGGTGCTGGCGCACACACGACGGCAGCAGCAGCAGCAGCAGCATCAGGGGGGGTTCGGGAGTGCGGGGGGGGCGGTAGCTGCGCCTCCGGGCGCTTCCGCGGAGCTTCTTCAGCAGAAGAGTTTGAGGGGGCTCTCCGAAACGCAGGTGAAGAGAGCGGTACATGTATCGAGGGTTGCGTGAAATACCACACCTGGTGGAGCGATTTTCAAACGTCCACGCTGCAGCAAGAGCCGAGGCAGTGCCGAAAAATAGCGCGAGTGTTCCGAAAGCACTTGTTGTCTGTTCCGCAAGAAAATGTCCAGCAATCACCCTTCGTTTGTGTGCAATTCCTTTGCAATGTGTTGGTTGTCTGTCTGTGCTTTTTGCCGGTGGAAACCAAATACAGTTGACTGGTGATGCTGCGATGCGTGTCGTCCCTTGTTTGTGTTTTTTGGCCTCGGCTCTGCGCTCGCTTGCCGATCCGCTTCTTCTTCAACTCTCTCGGTCTGCCTCTCTCTCGCTTTCTCTTTATCTTTCTCTTCTCCCTCTCTCTCTCTCACACACACTCTCTCTCTCTCTCTCTCTCTCTCTCTCTCTCTCACTCACTCTCTTTCTCTTCTTCTCTCTCTCTCTCTCTCTCTCTCTCCCTCTCTCTCGCCCTGTCTTTCTGTCTCTCTCTGGCGCACAACGCACACAATTGTTTTCGTGCTCTGGGATGATTTTTTGGCCGATACGTCCGTGAGCAGGCGTCCGAAGAGTTGGAGAGGCGAATGGCAGCCAAGGAAAGCCGGCAGCAGCAGGACCAGCAGGCCAAGGCCATGAAATCTTTCCTTCGAAAAGGTCCGCTGTCGCAGGAACAAGAGAGAGAGGTGAGAGAGAACAACACGATTTTAATAGCTGCTGCGTTCGGGCTTTGCCTGAAAGTTGCTGTGCTTTGTATTTGGACAAAAGAAGGTGATACGTCAGAACCGTTTGTTTCGATGGGGACATGGTATGCATACTACTGGGTTTCTTCCCTGAATTTGTGGCGTGTCTGCGAAGGTGGTTTAATTTCGACAGTCTTGCGATCGCTCTCAGCAACAGTTTCGAAGGGGCTTTCTTTTTGGGACGAGGTGGAGTCTTCATCCTGGTTGTAATTTTGGAGCCCACGTGCGTTTTGATTGAAACCGGGTTGTCGTTGTCGTTGTCGTTGTCGTTGTCGTTTTCGGGGGAATGAGTCGCTTTCTTACGTTCCGTTTGAAGTGAAATTACCGCAAGGTTGCGAGTCAGCGCACAGGGGTGCGATCGATATTCAAAGCGTAATTTCTCCACAACCAGGAGGGTGCGAGCGCCAGCTGATGCTTCTCAGGAGAGCTCTCGATAAGATATTTCCAAAGCCGCCCCTTTTTACAGCAGTGGTATTCTAACCTCCTGGTTGTGGAGAAATTACGCTTTGAAGATCGTTCGCACCCCTGTGCGCTGGCTCGCAACCTTACGGTATTAAGGGGGGAAATGAGAGACGAACACTCACCAAGACGTTGTATTTGTTTCCATGTAACCGCGTAGCGTTGTCGATCCCAATTCAAGAAGCACGGCCTCTCTTGTTCACATGTATCGAGGGCCCATTTCACAGACGCTGACTCCGCAAGGGCGTGCCGTTTCAGTTCTCAGGAGCTGAAGAGTGTTAACCCAGGCGCGAAAACCGAAAGCGCACTACAAATCCTTTTACCTATGTATTCCAACTATTACTCCGGAGTATAACGAAGTCTTGAAGTGAAGGTCAGTCACGACCAGTAGCCGAACACCTTTTGTTTTTGCTCTCAGGCGACGGTCTCTTCCGAATTGCCCCAAACGCCCTTCCCAGCTTCTGAATCTGTCCGCGTTGTGACACCTCGCAGGAACCATACTCTTCTGTGAGTGATTTCTCCGGAGAGGGCTCATGACAACACAGCAGTGTCATGAAGGGGGTGATGATGATGCAATATGACACAATTAAATACAAGTAGGTAGCAGATCCAGCCCACGGCCGGCTGCTGCCACCAAACCTTACCGAACCGAAAGGGAAAAAAATATTTCAAACGTGTGGTAATTCGGGGGTCAGTCTTTACTTGTATGGTTCGGCGTGTCATTGCGATGTCCCCCGTTGTACTTGTAATTGTGTCTTTGTGTCGAAAAGGTCGACAGGGCCTTCAACAGTGGGCCGGACCACGAGGTGCTGGTGAACGCCTTCAACGCCTCCCTCACCAGGAGGGACCTCAAGGTGATTGATTCATCTGGTGAACCAAGTGATTATTACCACGGACCAACCCTATTTTACCCCGAGGAGAGATACCCCCCCCCCCCTCGCGAACAGCCCACCCCTTTGATTGTGTTTTTTTTTGTTTGTTTTCGGTGTGGCTCTTGTTTTTTTGTCTTTTTTGCTCCAGTGGTGATGTTTTCGTACGTCTATCTTGGTGATGTCACTACTTGTGTCGTCGCGTTCTCCCGTCACTGAAACCGAAACTCGCATACATGCGGTCTCGAATCCGCTAAGCCCTTACCCAAAAGAATGGACGTGCGTGCAGAGATATCATGAGCAGAGAGATTGAAGTACGAGCTTCTACCTTTTGCCAGCTCATGAACGACCCCTTGGACAAAATAAGGTACACCGCATCGAAAAATGGTGGTGCGGGTGTGCACCCCGGTGGAGACGACGAGGTGATTTTAGTACCGTGCATGACTCAAGATATCACACCCCCTGGATGTTTTTTCGACTCGATCACTCCACGACGAAGAAGATGCATGAATGAAACGTTGCATTTTGGGAGAGCGCTCAACGAGACGTGTTCAACGCCGCCCTTTCTGGCGCCCCCGCTCTTTCTGCTGCGAAGTAACCGAGATTTTTGTATAGTGAACCCAGGGGGTGTGATATCTTGTGTCACGTATGGTATCTCCGACGGGTCTCGCGTGTGTCCCGCGTGCCCGTACCCCCGTAGATTCCTGTGCCTGAGTCCAACGCTTGTGTGCACCCATCCTCTTTGCTTGTTGTTCGCTGTTCCTGTCTCCATGTCGGAAATTGCCGGGATCTGTTTTATTGCCGTTTGTATCGATTATTTGGCAGTGCTTGCGACCGTACACGTGGCTGAACGACGAGGTGGTGAACATGTACATGCAGCTGCTGTCGTGCAGGGACAAGGAGGTGAGTCGGAGAAGCCGTGTTGACGCTGTCGGTGTTGTTGTTGTTGTTGTTGGTGGTGGTGGTGGTGGAGGTGGTGGTGGTATTTCGCTGTTGCTGTTGCTGCCGCTGTGTCGCTGTTGGCGTTGGTAGTGCCACAGCTGTTGGATTTGTCGGGGAATGTTATACTACATAGAACACGTATGATTCCTCACCAGAGTCCTTCCGCCCTATACACGCACGCGCACACACGTTTCAGCCGCCGTAAGACGGACGCCTTGTCTTTTCATTGGTGAGCCGGCTAGCGCGACCGATGCTATTTCGAAGACACGCACGCACACACACGGAGACACGAAAGAGCCGTTCGTGCGCGATGGATCCACAATTTTTGACGCCAGTCACGCTTTTTGGAAGGGAATGAGGACAAAGATGAAGGTTGGGATCGAGATCGGAATATCGGAATAGAAAAACGGGAGAGAGAGACAGAGGCAAAGAGAATGAGAGATATCCATACGGACGGACAGCCAGACAGGCAGCCAGACAGACAGAAAACGACAGAAAACGACAGACAGACAGACTGACAGGCACAGGCAAGACAGACAAAGAGAAAGAGAGACAGGGAAGAGACAGACAGAGACAGAGAGAGAGAGAGAGAGAGAGAGAGAGAGAGAGAGAGAGAGAGAGAGAAGAGAGAGAGAGAGAAACATGCTAAATATTTCCTGGGGATTTGTTACCGTTGGAGGCGTCAACCATCATCTCGCCGAGGGCGACCCTTCTCTCGTGTGTGCAGTGGTGGGCGAGAGAGGCGGAAGGTTTTGCTTTTTCTGTTCTTTTCGCATTCTTCCTCCGCCGTGCGGGTCACACCACGATTTCCCCGAATCCGATTCTGATATCTCATGGTTGGTGAGCGAGTCGGGAGCTTTCAATTCTGTTCTTTTCTCGTTGTTTTTTGTTCCTTCGCTGTGCGGGTCAACCATGATTTCACCGAGTCCGGTTCCGATTTCTCATGGTTGGCGAGAGGCGGCAGATTGAATTTTTGCTTCTCTTTTCCGCGGTCTTTGCTCCTCCGCTGTGCGCGTCAACAAATTTACTTCCTCCACAGATAAGAATCCGAGATAGATCAGCAACTAGTTCGTTATTGTGTTGTATCATGACCAACCTGTATTTCTACGGTTCCCCGAGCCCGGTTCCCACGTCCCATGGTTGGCGAGAGGGGCGGCGCAAACGATCAAAGGGCAAAGATCAACACTGCCTCGTTCTTGTAGTCTGTGGGTGCTGCATGTATGTGCGTGCTTCATCAAATTACCGAGGGGCCCTCGCAGTGGAAAACAAGGAGCACCCCGATCCCCCCGGAGCAAGATTGACGCCCAGGATAAGCAGGTTGCACGGGTCAATTGCAGCAGACTACTGTATAGGTGTCTAGTCTTTAGTATTATAGTAGATTCTCTTCTTTGTACAGGTTTTCGTGTCGCATTCTGAAACCCACATATGAACATAACAACGCCTTATTGTTGTATGTTTAATAAACCCGTACAATACCAATACGGGGGTTCATAGCTTCAAAGTATGGCCTACATCTTGCTACAGGCTTTAGTGTCGCATCCTACAATATGCATAAAACCTATCACCTGAGCGTATTGTAAGTATGACCATACTGGAGTAGGCGGTAGTGTCGCAATGTACAACCCATTTTTTCCCGGGTGTATGGGTTAACCCATTATTTCCCGGGTGTATGGGTTTTATAACCCATTATTTCCCGGGTGTATGGGTTTTATTACCCGGGTGTATGGGTAACCTGGTATGTCGACATTACATCCTACTCAGCAGTGGAACATAAACCCATTATTTCCCGGGTGTATGGGTTTTATTACCCGGGTTTATGGGTAACCTGGTATGTCGACATTACATCCTACTCAGCAGTGGAACATAAACCCATTATTTCCCGGGTGTATGGGTTTTATTACCCGGGTTTATGGGTAACCTGGTATGTCGACATTACATCCTACTCAGCAGTGGAACATATAGGGTAGATTTTAGTATACCCCACTAGGTCCCATTCAACAAAGCTACCTAGATTTAAGAATTCTACACTTTAGTAGATTCTATTCAATAGCCCCCCCCACCCACCCCTGGTGTTTGCCATCGGGGCTGGGTTTTCTTCGCTTGGCAAAGACGTTGTAAAACAAGCCGATCACCACGTTGTGTTCCGTTGGTCAAGCACCCTCGAGGCAGCTACACAGTGCTGAACTGTCCCTGGAAGTGAAAACATCTGAAAATGCAGCTGTCATCCAACACAAGGAAGTAGGCACAAGACGCCGAACACCCTCAGCAGGATGCCGCGCACCCTTCAGCGACTCGCCGAATACCTCACGGCGCTTCACGCTTGGTGATGTGAGAGCCTGGTCTGGTGAGAATCCGGCGTGCTCCGTCCCGGCTTTGTAGGGATGCGAGGTCAATGGTTTAACGACTACGGCATGCACGACTATGAGTACCCCCCCCCCCCCCCCCCCGGGGGAAGGGCCCCCCTCCCAACAAAGGGGGGAAGGGGAAACCCTCTAAAAGGGAAACACACTTTTTTACTTCCTTTTTTC